CAGCAAGCCTAATCTCCACCATCCGCTGCTGCGGCAGCATCGACAGGATCGTGACCATCTCGACAAGAAAAAAGATGCTTTCACAAGCGAAGATGCGCAGGAAACCGAGGCGAAGGCCCTCCGGTCGTTGTTTGGACCCCGACAGGTCCTGGCAAAGCCCATGCACACCCATTCCTTCCCTTCGCTTCAGGCCTAGTGCACAGCAACGATGCACAGGGTCATACCCGTCATCAGCATCATCGTGGCCAGTTTCATCGTGATTTTGCATCTGTGTCGGTGCTAACAGCGCGGATGGCATTCACAGCACTGACTGTGAGTTCCAACCGGTGCAAAGCATGCTGACGCGTCATTTCGTTGACCCATTCTGCTCCACCAGGATCTCGATACAGGTCAACGCGATCTACCGCACCGGTGAAGACCTTGGTGAATCGACCACTAAGGCATAGCGCAGTGCAACTGAACAACTTCGACAGGTATCCCACGCTGAGTGCTGAACCCAATTTTCGCCCGGCTTCGGAAGGGTGCCTATGCATCCAGGGGAAGGGCTTCCTGAGACCTTACACACGGTCGCAATCCGACTGCCTTGGCAGGCCGCTGCTCCAGGCGCGGTTGGGGCACTCATCCAGTTGCTAAGGGTCCTGGACCAGCAGGCGGCTAGGCTGAAACCAGGCACCCACCTTGCACGTGCTTCCACCTTGCAAAAGCTGGTGCGAAGGTGGTCGTAGTTGGAAGGTTTGACTTCAATGACGGCTGTGCGACCATAGCCGGGGCCGACTGTTTCCTGGAAGAAATCTGTGCACCCCACTGACTAGTGACTAGTGTCAACTTCGTGAATGAGGAAGCGGCACCGAGGTTGGCGATTCGTCACAGAAGTCAAACAAGTCCATAGGCCTGAATTCGTTCGAGCACTGTGGGGTGCTGCTTGTGAGTTAACGAATCTGCTTAGTCGCCAGCTTCGGCTGTGCCTCCGCAGTCCCATGGTCAGGCAAATCCGGCTCAAAAGCATCCTCAGATCTTAACTGCCAAGATCAACGAAGAAAGCTTAATGCATCAGTTTCGGAGCACGGTGCAGGGGTCCGGGCTTCTACGATCTCCGCAGGCGGCAGCTGAAAGGCGCGCTGCTGCAGAGCCTCCGTGAAGACCTTCCAAGGAGCCCAACCAGCACCTTTTCAGGGCCGCATTCAGCTGACATCGCTTCTGTCTCTGAATTGACTGCTTCGCGTCTTTCTGGGTTGGCTTGTCAGGACAGAACATGCGTGATAGCTGTCTCGCCCAATCTGCTTCAAATAGCGCGCGCGCGGGTGTGTGTGTGTGTGTGTGCGTGTGTGTGTGTGTGTGCGCGTGCGTGTGTGTGTGTGTGTGTCTGTCTGTGTGTGTGTGTGTGTCTGGGAGTGAGTACGAATCCAGATTCTTAGGAGACTCTCGGGCAAGCGCCTATATAAACATATAAAAATAAGAATTTATAGTTATATAAACATATAAACATATAAATACATAAATATAAAATATAAATATAAACATGAACAAATAAATAAATACATACTATATAATAAATACATATTATATAATAAACACACACATAATTATATATATATATACACATATACATATATACATATATAATTATATATATATACACATCTATAATAAAATGTATATAGATCATATAGAGACACCTTTCGTGTTAGTGCTGGCTTGGCCCTCGGCCTGTGAGAGTGTCAGCCCTCTGCGCTGGGTTCCTGCTATCCGAGCTCCGCAGGACTCGCGATTCGCACGCAGGCATTCTACGACGCAGGATACCAGGGGCAAAGGGTCTCCTGTCTTCAGCTTGTGCCAACCTTTGGCAGATTCCTTGAGCAAGCGCTGCTCACCATGCCATGCTGCGATGTCGACTGTATTGAATTGCAGAGGATAAGCTGCCAGCAAACTCCCCTCTGGTTTTGAAAATCCCCTCCTTAGCACATGCACCGGAACCTCCATGGAATATTTGAAACTACATGCGCCCTTTCGAGGAAGGGGCAGCGAAGCCCTCGCAAAGTCGAGAGATACTCAAGACCTGCAGGGGATGAATTCAAGGTCTCACCCCGCAGGGAGCCCGGTTTTTGCCTTGCAGTCAAAGGGCAAAGCAACGTGCTGAGCTGTCGTTCGAAGTGATGAAATCGTAGGACCTCAAGACAAGGCTTTCAAGCCTGGCTTTCGAGGACAGCAGTCCCTAAGGGTCCCATGTACCCAAAAGGGGTTCCTTTAAGGGTTCTATTTTGAGGGTACCAATAAGGGTTTAGGGTAGAAGGGTCCATGTGCGCAATTGCGGGATCCCGACCTGTCCGCCGTCACCAAGGAGAAGCAAAGCCATGGAGAGACCTGGCTCTGCTTCTGCAGGGAAAATTACCCACCAGGACCCTCCAAGTACCCTCAAATAGGGGTACAGGGTCCCGAATTGGGGATTTAGGGTCTAATAGAGGGTAGATGGAGGGTCTAGGCGAGTCCTGCCCTGTGCCACGCGCCTCTGGAAATAGTTTACTGGCTCTGGCTTTCGGCCCGTACTCAACTTTTTTGACCTCGGCTTTTACGGCAGCACAAGGGAGTCAATGGCCAAGGAAGCACGCGGACACTCTCAATCCCGGGGCATGCGCTGTTCGCAAGTCAAGCCATTTGGAGGTTGAGCCTTGCGCACAAACTGTGATGGCAGGTGCGACAAAATCAAACGTATGCTGTTGTCCTTCTGCCCCTTAGACGGCCTTTCGCCTGCCAGCATCTCTAAGCGATGCCCGGGGTCCCTGCCAAAGGCTTCGTGTGCATGGCACCACTTGAGCACCAGCATCTGCGGGCAAACCTCGCTGGGATAGACCCTGCGATCTTTGAGACAATTAGCATTCCAAGTGCAATCAGCAGATGAGAGGAGCACGGCCACGCGACGCACCTGGCAGCCGGGTTGCACAACAATAGTTCAATGGCCGTCGCTGCCCGGTGTAGTTCTCCATATTGCATACGATGCTTCCGGCGCACGGCCTCCGTTTTCCCATGTTTCTCCGTGACCTTGTTGATAACAAAGCCCTGCTCAGCATCACGCATTTCGCGCCTAGGCAGCGGGGATATTCAGGAAGAAGCTCAGCGTTGCAACACCGGTTCTGAGCCCAACACGCGATGTTTCTCTTCAATCTGCGCAGCAACCTCCAATGCCAAAGTTGAAAAGCACGGTGTGTAGTCCCGACGTAGCAACCTCTGAAGCCACAATGCGGTCGAGGAGCCTTGCATGCGCTGCATTCTTGGGAAGCGGTCTTCGCTTCGTCAATGCCTCCACCTGTCCACATACAAGCCCAACTATGAAGCGACGATTCAGCAGCAGCAGCCGGCCTTCTTCTCAGCCTTCTCCGCTCGCCGTCTCCAGGCATCTCTCTCCCTGTGCGCAGCTCAATGGCGAACGACGACTCGTGCTTCGTTCATCTTCACATGTCTCCAAGAAGCTGCTACTCCAGTACACTCGTTTGGCTGTTAGCCACAAGTGTTCTGAGCGTTTGCACCTCCGTCGTCTATGCTGGTTCGAATGGTTTAAATTGCTCTTCGGCAGCTCATCGGGCGCACCTCGTGGCATCATCGACGCCCCTGTGGAGCTCTCGAAACGTGGAGTCGGATTGGCAGCAAAGGCAGAATTCGTTCACAGCAAAAGCGCCTCGAATTGTCAGCCTTTGCCCTCAGGACCTTGTTCTGTGCCAGAGCCTCGTTCATGCTGCGCAAGCACTGTCAGTCGTGACAAAGACGGCCATGGATGGGTAAAATATTTGGAGTTTTGATGAACCAGCCTGGTGAGTCTTGAGTCAGCACTGCTCACTTTTCCAAGCAGAGCTTTTGGGGATACTCGAGGACCGTCTAGGCTCAACAGGTGGGGCCTATGTTTAGCAGGCACAGGGCTGGAGGTCTGTCGCCTGAAGTGCAGAGTATGACGAGAGCTCTACTCGTCATTGCGAGCAAGGATGCGATTATGGGATGACTTCTCTGCAAGGTCCCTTTAGTGCAGAGTCGATGAGCTAGGCGTGGCCCACGACTAGTGCTTAGAAGATGCATTGATAAGAGAGAGACAGCAGGAGAGAGCGTGCACCTCCTCCAGCTGCTGTCTGACGGCTTTCAGCTCGTTTTTGGCGGCGTCAGCAGCTCCCAAACCTCCGACGAAAACACACACTTGCCAATTTTTGTTTAAACCTCGACCTTGTAGTCTCACCTTGTTGTCGGAATTCTGTGTCCAAACCCTATCAGCCGTGCAAGCTGTCGCAGACCCAGGCCTATGGAAGCGGCCCAGCTGGGCGGAAGCTTGGGCTCGCCCTCCATCACTTAAAGTCCATGGCTCTTGCGGGCGCCCGGCTCAAGTTCTCCTAGGGCTCAAGAACTCCTCACTGGAGCTGCGGGTGGGTGTCACTCGAGTTGCTGATGTAGTGGTGCCCGAGCACTCAGTTTTTGGAGAACATCCATCACGCAGGACTCTGCTTCGAACTCCAATTGCAAGGTAGGTCCGCAGTGCATGTGGGATCAAACTAGAACGTGCTGGAGCAACAGAGCGCGTGTAGGTCTCTGCAATGGTCGCAGTACGAGTTACAGGAAGGTGACGAGAATTCTGTTCTTTCGCAGGCCGCCTTGTCAATGTCTGTTACAGCTCCTCGCCCTCAAGCTCTCCAAGCATAGACCTCCTAACGGGAAACATGTGTTCTTCTCGCGTTATCTTGCAAGTTCACGGCTGCAGCCTATGCCTAGGCGTTTTGGCAAATGATGCTGTCTCGGGCCAACATCGCAACTTCAATGCGAACAGCTGACAATAGCTTGTCGCCGGACATCCCATGTGGGGGAAAGGTAACAGTTCAAAGCTGTTTTCGTCATGCTGGTTCCGTTCTCCTTGACGTGCCGAATTCCCAACTCCACTGTACAGGCTGGCGAGAACCACGTCTCGCACGAGCAGAGGCAAATCGAGAATCGATACAGCACATGGCAAGTGGTGACAAGCATTCTCGGCATCACAATGCCCCTGGCTGCTTACCTCTACCTCCAACACGCTTACCAGGACCCTGCGAGATCTGCTGGCCGCTGACACTGAAGACGTTGGCATTTGTTGGAACGCTTGCGGACCGATGTGAATTCACCCGAACCTTCGCCCTTGCCTTGTCAACCTCTGCAGCCTTCTCGGCTGTCATCGACTGGTAGCCCACATCCGTAACTTTCTTGGCAGTCGTGCCGCGCTGCTGGCGGTATGCTTCCGTTGTATCTTGAAGCCGGCTGCCACTTTCACCAAGGGATGCCAAGGTGTGTATGTTACTCTCAGGCTTCGGAGGCGCATTCGCAGGCGGCGGTTTGCCCCTCCCCGGCGAGATCCCCCGCGCCCGAGAGGCACCGGCAGAGGCAGGGCGTGCCCCCGGGGGGCTCTTGGGGTGCAGAGTCGAAGCCTTGCCCGGCTTCTCCGGGACCGGCTCCGGGACCGGAACCGGCGCACCTCCGAAGGCACAAGAGTTCACCAGCTTCTCCAGGCGCTCCTCGCGGTCCAGCGAAGCCTTTCCTGGACGGCCGGATGCCCCTCCCAGGCGCTTCGCCATGGGATCCCAGCTGCCTATGTCTAAAGTTGCGGCTAAAGGCAGCCAAGGTCTGTGTATTATGGGCCTTATGGGTATCTCATCAAGCTCGCCTTTAAAAAACTGTGGACAGAAGACTCAAGTGTGTTTTTCCACGTGCGATCCCTCAGTGAGGAACCAACCCTGCACCATGTGCCACATCCGAAGACTGAAGACCGTGCAACTCTGAAGCAAAAGCCATGCGGGCAAAGTCAAGTACCTCCTGCACCCGCGCAACATCATCCAAGGGATCGAAATCGTAAGTCAGCTGCTGCAACGTACGTTTACCTGGTGAGGCTTACTGGTACAGTGCGCGGCAGCATTGGGAAGCACCGGTTTTGCAGCTGCCAGTCTCGCGCACTGTACATGAAAGCACATCTGGCATGCGAAAAGCACGTTCGCATGACTTGCAAGATGCGGTGCATGAGCCATTCAGGGTGGAGTGGCACGAACTGTCAGACTCTTCAAAATGAGGTGGCCCAGTCGTCAGACTCGGACCTTGCAGTCTCGCAGTCAATGTCTGAGTTGATATCCCGCATGACATTTTTCAAGAATCACGGACTGTGGCTCCAGCGATTGGACGGAGGGGCCTGAATCTTCGGTCAGACTTTCCTCCGCCAGCGTGGGATGTAGCAGGTGGTGCGCAGAGCTAGCCGGACTCTCGCCTCATCACCACTAGGCGTGCACGGAGGACTGGGCGCCTTCAGGCAATATGTCCGAACACAGTGCAACTCGATATTGACCTTTGACTATTGACGGCTGTGAAAGCTGACATGCATCCGACATGAACCCAATCGGAGATTCTGGAAGCTCTGAGGTACAGGCAAGAGGCGGCTCCAGTCGCTTGTGCAGCATCCTGGAAACACCAGCATCGTAAGAAGAACTGAGCTGAGCGCCGCGTCTATGCACAGGCCAGCAATTGGCCTTAGAGCCTACGACGTGCAAGCGTGTCTGACAACATGGCAACGGAGTGGAGCGTTTGCAGTTAGTGATGGCTGCCAAGGGGCCTGTCGAAGCGGAAATTCTGGAAGTACACATGCTCACGCCTCGTTGGCATGAGGCATGTCACTTGGGAGGGAGTCCGGGGCTAGCTTGCAGTAGCCTACCTTAGCCAGAAGTACCATGTGACATGCTGTAGTTGTACAACGAAGTGCATGGGGGCCGCGGAAGAGAAACTTGAACCAGCTGCTACGAGTCTCTGCTATCCGGGCCATGCACACATCCCACAGACCATTCCTCAGCCATTTGCATCACACGAGAAGCGCCAGAGAACGTGGACCGTCTTGGGTACCTCTGAGAACAGCGCTGGCCACAACCCAGCCGCCCCTCTGGGCTTCGCCGCAGAAGGCTCCTTCAATTCTGGAAGGCTCCAAGGTCTGACTGGTTCTTAGTAGGGAATGGAGGAATGGGCTATTGGGACCTACTATAGGGGACCTTAAGGGACTATCATAGGGATCCATTCCCCCATTCCCTACCAAGAGCCAGAGAGAGATGCAAAAACCAATGCAATGAATTTCCCACATTTCGAAGCTGCCGGCCTCAGGAGATGCTTGCAAACGCTGCTGGTAACATTGCCAGGGAACGACCTGAAACAATCCGCATCGGCCCGTCTGGCAAAGGGTATGCAAGCAAAGAGCGGCAAGAGAATGTGGCTGAGAGTGCGTGCAGCGGAGTGGAGAGGATGTGTTGGAAAACCTGCAAATTCAAAGCGTGAACGCCTTCCTAATGCGGAGTGGCAACTGCATCATCAAATTCCCTCTTTGCAGAGACGCGATTTTGCCACAACACAAGCCTGCTTTGGGTTTTCCGCAGAATTGGCAAAGGGCAGCGGGCCGCAGACGAACTCGTAGAGGCACACACCCAAGGACCATACCTTCGTGATGGAATTTCATAGCAGCATAACTGTCAAGTCTGGGTTGTGGTGTGGTTCCTACAGTCGCCATCCCTTAACAAGGGCTTCCCTGCTGTGACGTACTCATCTGCTCTCCTAGGTCCTAGGCTCTTGCTATGCCCTGCTCCAGCTGAGGCACATCACACGAGTCCCCATACTCCTCCCCGAGAATGACCTCCGGAGCCTCAGGACGGGCAAGTGCCCGACTTCAGAAGCAGGTGCTGGAGGATCTGCAAGGCTTTGGCCATGTAGTGCGGCGTACCGATGAGGGTGCGCCGCATGCCTTGAGAAGGACACGAGAGTGCATTAGGCAATGAACGCCGTCCATGCTGGCTTCTAGTTTAGGTCGAAGGATGTGGAAGGGGAGGTGAGATATTGAGCGATGAACTTGCCGCTTTTTTTTGCGTCTGGCCAGCAGCGGCATGGCTCGAGACCTGACAATAGCCAACAACCTGGCTGATTCGATTCCCACAGTGCCCTGTGCTTCCAAAACAGAATAAGAGAGCATGTCAGGTTCAATCAGCATTTCTTGCATCCGACCGAAGAGAGACTCCAAGCTCAAATGTCCGACAGAGGCCTGCAAGCAGGCGTTCCAAGCTGCGGTGCTGAGACATTGCCCAAGAGAGTGCTGCCAAACATGGTTGAGCAGTGACACACATTGTCTCCATTCTTGAGCTTTACTGCACGCAGAGACCGTGGCAGATAAAGCCATCGGGTCAAGCCAAGGCCTTTTCTGCTGATGCGATGAGGGGCGCTGGGGAATTTCGTGCAACAGGCTTAGCCCCTCAGCCCATTTGCCCCAACTCTCCAAAGCATCCAGAGCCGCGCCATAGCAAACCACACCTGTCAGCGACCGGTACGAGTCGATCAATCCCAGAGGAACCCTCCACTGGTTCGACCTCTCACCAGCAGTGGCCATGGCCGCAACAGAGACCGGACTAATGCGCAGCCCTGATTGCTTTGAAGACGACATCAAGAATGATGCCAAGCACCACTGCCCCGCATTCGCACATGCACTCACGGCAGCGTTTCGCCCGATGATGTCGGACTCGATGGCGAAGAGTCGTTGAAGCAGCAACGTCCGAGTCGCTAACTCCCAGTTGACTGTCTTCTCGCATGCCGTCACAAGCGTGTTCAAGCTGATGTCATCAGGCTCTAGGCCCCTGCGAAGTCCTGTGTGCAGCAGGTGGCAGCCTTTGTGCCATCGCAGAGAGCTGCCCAAGCAGACCAGGGCAGAGTTCAAAGACACGACGGACGTTCTCAGACCTTTGGCAGCGACTTCCATCCAGCACTGCATTGACCACAGCCAGCCTCTGCGGAATGGGCTGTGTCTCTCACAACTGGAGGAAGCAGCATTCAATGTCTCGACAGCGACCCGAAAGCCCATCCACTGCAAGGTCTGGATGACCTGCACGGCTCTTTGCCAACTGCCGCCCTTTCCCCAAGAGTTCGCCGCTTCAGTGGCTCCTTGGTGGCTGCGAATTCTCCGAGCACAGTCGAAAGCTTCTTGCCATCTTGCGGCTTTTGCTGCAACGCTGAGGAGGAGCTGGAAATCCTGCTCTACCCTTTTCGAGGCCATACCCTCCACCAAGTCAAGACCCTTGACCCAGCCATGTTTGGAAAGGACTCCTCTAACGTTAACGCCCCCCCGCCCGCCACACAACTGTTTGCTTCTCTCCTTGCATCGGTTGGACTTTCTCATCTTTGGACGGCCAGCCACGGCTACATCGAGCTGGTAATATCTGGAGAACCACATAGAGCTTTGTCAACAAACGCCTTTGCTCTTCCGCACAGTTTCGCTATGCCAACGAGAAATCGCCATGGGGCGCCCCGGTGCACAAGTGCATGGCAACATTCCAAGCGACGATTCGGCCCTAAGCAATCGGAAGAATTCATGCTCTTGGTTATACAGCATATATGTAAAGTTGGACTGGGCAGATCAAGGGAACGCACTGGTCATGTAGGACCGGTGCGACCAAGTCTGACGGCACAGCCGAAGTCGATCAGCTTCGGGTACCCGTCAGAGTCGAGCAAAACCTGACTCGCTTTGCCGCGTTGCGAGGTTGGGATGTTGCTGAAGGCAGGCCGCAAGCTATGTCCTTGCAGCCATGACTTGAAAGCAGCTACATACACATGGCAGCCGGAGGCTCAACTCATTATTCACAGGACAGGCTGGGAAAAACAAGTAACAACTTCAGGACCGGCTGAGAAAGCAGCATTCTCGGGCTTGAGGTCGCGGTACACGATTCTCCTTTGCACTGAGACAATGTCGTCAGCACCACTTGCAACTCCCCCGCGATTCCGACAGGCCCCAAGTGCAGCTCAGCAGCTTCTCGTGGAGAGCCTGCAGGGCGAGGATCAGGCCACCGGTATAGAACCTGAAGAGCAGCCCCACAGGAGGGATGGGTTACAGGAAAGAGATGGGCCTGGCTTGCCATCCGGCCAGGATGCCCAACGAGCGGATTGCGAAGAAAAGCTCTCCACCTTTCAACTGCAGTTCAGAGGACATTCTGACAATGATCTCAGCTGGCACATGCATATACATACGAATGCGTGGGTATACATCTGTCTGTCTGCCTTCTTCTTCCACGCACTCTCTATACTTATACTTACAGTGGATATATGTGTATATATATATATTATATGTATACTTAGAAGCGCCGTGTCGTGCTTATTCAATTGGTAGACTTGTGCGTCTGTTTATACTATTCTCTCTCTCTCTCTATATATATATATAATGTGTATATGTATAATGCAATTATCTCTCTCTCTCTCTCTCTGTGTTTCGCTCTGCAAAAAATGCAAGCTTGTAGCGAATGGCCTGTAACGAACTCCGTCAGAAAATACACGTACCTGCGCGCAGCAGGCCCGATGAGATGTCTGCTTTCGACTCTACATATCTTGCACTGTCTGTTGTGACACCTTCGGTAATAAAGACAACAGCAGCAAGCCTAGGATCCAACGAGCACACAGGCCCATGGAAGACAGCGAACAAAAACACAAGCCAAGAATGGGGCTATCGCATATGATTTTGCGCATATACACAGATCAAGTCGTGCAGATATGCTTACAGACTCGCACACGCGCAGGTCATTATCATCAACACCACCATCTCTGCCAAAAAAGTGTCCGCAGAATCTCGAATTTATCCGGACTCGTTTGGAACTGCGGGTCGTTTCGGGTCAGTGCTGAGGGTCTTCGGGTGCATTGAAGGCTTAATTCTCAGCTTCATGAGGGTGCCCTCTCTGCCCTGAATGTGCCTGTAAGCTGACAGGGCTGAACTATGTGCTCCCACAGGCCTGGCATGTGCTGCTTGAGGCCGTTCAGAAAAAACTCCCTTTTCGCGCGCGTTTTTGCCTCGGCTGCTAGGACGAAGTCCACGCCTAGAGCCAGGTGATCCGATGGGTAGGAGTGGCTCGGAAGTCGGGCCTTGGGCATTTCCGCGTCCGAGGGGAGCTTCAGGAGGGCCGCCACGCAGAGGGAGGGAGAGTGAAGAATGTAATCAATGGTCCGCTTCACCTCGCCTTTGGGTCTCAGCTTCCAGGTCGTGAACTCAGGCTCCTTAGAAGACTCTGCATATGAGCTTTGGAGCCGGAGCTCATGGCTCAGTGCCGCCGTGTAGGCGAGAGGGTCGCCGATCTTGCCATCTGGAATGGACACAGCGTTCATGTCGCAGGCTAGTATGACTCCACAGGCTGGAACTGACAGTCGTGACAACAGGTCCAATAACGATACCATCTGGTCGCGTCTCTGCTTCTCTGCCACTTCTGTCTTGCCTGACTTGAGATGCGCACTGACAGCCAGTAGCTGCAACTCGGACCTACGATCTTTCAGAAGAGCAGCTGCAGCATATCCGACATCGGCTTCCTCAAGCACTGTGAAGCGGTCTTCCTTGACGAAGACGGCGCAGCCGTCAGTCGCTGGAGACTTTGGCTTCGTGAGGATCCCTTGATAACCAGCAAGGCGGAGCTCGGAATCCAAGCCTCCAGGAACCCCAGCAACCTCCATGTCCAGCTCTTGTAGGCAGATGATGTCAGCTTCCTCTTGCAAAAGGATTTCCAACAAGCGCAATCGCCGTTTGGGCCACTGCAGCACATCCTCTGGAGTTGCAGACCACTCCTCCTCTTTTTGCTTACTGTCTGCTAACAAGTTCAGTGATAGAACACGAACCGAAGACTCCGACTTTTCGGGTGGACCAGCAGCCGACCACGTCCGCTTTAAGACCGGAGGCCACTGAAGCTCCGCAAGTGATTCTCGGATTCTTTGCAGTGCTGAAGTGGCCGTGCCAGTGTCTGACCCATGAGCTGCATCACGGCCTTCGCTAGTATCCATGGCCTCACTTCAGGGCTGGAGGCGACACATTGCTAGACTCGTTTGGGAGAGCTTTGTCCTGTGCACTGAGACAAAGCATTTTTGATCGTTTCAGGTGCCTAGCCTGCCAGTCTTGCAGATGATGTAATGTACATGTATGCACAAAACTTGATTCAAGCGATTCTGTTGGCGAGCTTTCGCACAGTGGCTTCAGTCCTTCCGCTGTACCCACGCGCATTCCCCCCTGTGCCTTGAATCTTTGAAGGTTCGAACGAGCTTGAGGATAAACGGATGGTCCTCGGAGCAGACGTGCTCTAAAGCCGCCAGATTCTGCAAGCTCACGTCCAAGAACTCTCCGGCAGATTTCCTAAGGTTGCAGCCAAGTCCGTCAAGAGCTCTCGCTCGTTGCAGAGACTCAGCTGCTGCCCTCTTGCAATGGCCTCAGGGAGTCCAGAGATATCGTTGAATCGGGTCGTTATGTTCAACCGGCCTGGGAACGACGGATCCGTTTCAGTGCGTACCTCGCCGGCGACTCTTCCAGCTAACTTGATTATGCTGCTTTGCACACTAAACACCTTACCCGATCAGCGGAACTCTGCCAGGATATGGGCATGCCAAAGACTGTTCACTACGAATGGCTCTGAATTTTCAGCGCCTCATGCCTGATGGCTGATGCTCCATAAGCTGCACCTGAGACTCACGACCGACGTTCACTCCACGAATCGTGTTCCGTCATGCCTGTCAGCCCGGCACCGTGCCGAAAGTCCCATGCCCGATCACCCGCAGCTTCCGAAGGTCGTTCAGACCTGGGGAATCAGACTCAAATTGTCAAATGCAAAAGCATCATCCGGGCTTGCTAGCTTGCTTCCTGTTTATACGCTCCTGTTAAAACCAAGCAAAAATCAACCCTAAATGCGAATTCGAGACACGCGAGACGGCCTCTCTCGGAACGTGCCACTGAGGCCACGACCAATGTCCGTGCGCCTTTGTCGTTCAGGTTGACTGACTCATCCCCATTACATGTTCTCACTTCTGTGTGACATCCCACCAGTTGAATTCCAACGGCAGCACACAAGATGTCTTCACTTCTGCATTCGTACACTTTCAGGAATGAATGGAGTAGGAGGTGGGACGGGGGGGCACATCTCGCCCTCGAAAGAGCATGAAGTGGTCGAGGTAAGATCTGTATAACGGTCATACAGTCCACGACAACAAGACCAACTCATGCAGAGGCATCTATTGGGTTGCTAAGCTTGCCAGCGCCCACAAGAGCCTGGTGAGCAACTCAGAAGAGTGGCCGAAGGCCTGAGGGGGCATCTACTGAGCGTTATGCGGAGCTGAGACACGTCCGAAGGCGAACAGCGTTCAGGTCATCTCCTCATTTCCTTTGGCATTGCTGAAGCGACTGGTCCAGTTCAGTAGGTGAAGCCCCGGGAGGATCTTTTGCGAAGTAATTAGTAAATAGATTCCTTCCACAGCAGAAGCTGTGCTGCGCCACTCCCCCTCCCCTCGCCCCTCGTAGTGGGAGCAGGAGGAGGCAACAGAATAGAAGCCGCCATGCCATGGCATGCTTGAGCGAGGCGCAAACAAGTGCCGACCCCATTAGTAGTCCGCGATCTCAAAGCGGTTCATCGGACTCTATGGATTCGGGCACTCGGAAATCAACGGCTGCTACAGCAATTCTTCCCAAGCATCACCTCGCCACAACCGTTTCTTTCGGGCGATGCAGGGCATGACGAATTCATGGGCAGTGGCACCACTCACTAGTCGTTTCAGCATGGTGGTTCAGAACACGCCGCTGAGGCCGTGGACCGCAGGCGCAGCTGGTTGTGCAACTGCTCAGACACTTGATCCTGTAATGGTGGGCAGTTGCCTTTTTCATGATAGAGAGGCACTGGCCAATGCGCAACCTCCACAAGCCCGTCCTTGACAAGCTGCTCAAAGATCATTGTGTCCATGCCCTGTAGTTCATGCAGTGTACGTGTACATGCACCATTGATTCACAGTGTCTTAGATCGTGGCAAGCACTGTCACGGTGTCCTGACACATCAGTGGTCGCTTTCCGCTAACAGCCAGACAGAGCCATGCTGGTGCTTCAGCACTCATTCAAACTTTGTGGGATTCCGGGGGCTATGGTGAAAGTTCGCGGACATCTGGGTGCGCCGGCAGACTTGCACTTGACACTGAAGTAGCGGGTCTTCCCGCTTAGCAGCCTCAGATGTAAGCTTCGCACCAATTCTACGGTCTCCGCGCAGGATGTATTGGTGTTGGGATGCGCCGGTCATCTGAGACACACGCTCCGCTTCTCCGAATGTGCTGAAGGAGCCCAGGGTCCGAATGATCTCGCCTAGGTCGTGCGTCAAGGCGTTGAAAGAACGGCATGAATACTGAACATTAGGGTAACACGTGTTCCGTTGGGCCTCCTTTTGACACGACAACCTCACCCTCCTTGATGATGAAGAAGTGTGAAGCCAGATCACCTGACTAGGTTGCTTTGCTCATGCTTGCAAGATGTTGCTGCACGATCTTCTTCCAGAAACATACTTGACGGTCCAGGTCTCAGTTCTGACATGAACCACAACACAACAGCTTGCCGCTTACGTGATTATAGCGCTGGCGGGTTGTGATGTTTGTCCGTGTGTGCGGATGGCGATGAAGATGATCAGATGATGGCGGTGATGATGATGATGATGATGATGGTGTGGATGTTGATGTTGCTTGTGGTGTTTTTGAAGGTCAGACTGTACAGGTCTGCTGCAAGTCTTGCAGGAAGAGGCCTGCATGTTCGAGTGCTACATGGTGCTGGTTTTCCGGGTGGTGTCGCGCCAACTTGTTATTCTTGCATGTGCAGTTCCACCCTTTGAAGAACGTGTCACATGGATTCCCTTAGGCTTGAGAAGGATTGCAACATGGAAGGGCTACAGTCTACAGATGTTCATGATCTGCACAGGGAGCCCGAACGCCGCACCCCCCACCTTCTTTGAAGAGGAATTGTCCACGGCGCCTAGCAGAACTGCATCGCACGAGCCTTATGCAAGCTCCCAATGCAAAAAGAAAACCTCATGAGCGCTGGAAAGACATTGCGCCTCAAGAGAAGATGGCCAGCCTCCGCCAACTGTGCTTGTTGTGTGCGGTCCAGGTTTCGGAAGATCAAAGCGTTTTTCACCACCTCCAGCTTGTCCCCATACGGGGTTGCACTGCCGATGGCATCTTGCAGGAGCATAGCCAGGGTACATCCATCCCGGGTTGTTCCGATCTGCGTCTCTTTGTGACCCTCACTCCAGCAGAAGGAGCGGCCAGCTCTGGCATCTTCACCGGTCGTTCGCAGGGAGCCATCCAACACCACATACCACAAGATTGAAGCGGTCTCATCGGCAGAGAAGAGCTGCGAGCTTTTGGCCGGAAATGACCGGATGATACATGCTCTTGCAAAGGCTTCCGGATCATCTCTCCACATGACCGGGGCGCCGAAGCTCAGCCGATCAGACCACATATCCCGAAGCATGCGGAGCAAGGTGCAGCGCCAGAGGAAGTCCGGCATATGGTCGCCCAGTACTTCCTGTAGAAGCTGAAACGACAAGGCCAGCATTCCTGCAGCATCATACTCGTTGGAAACACGGACTGTTTCTGCATGGGGGCGGCTGCACCAGGCCGACACCTGATCCAGGCACTCACCCGGATAAATGTACCTTTCGCGTCCGTTAGACTGCGACACCAGGCAGCCAGACTTGACAACATACAAGAACTCCTTGGGCATCTGCCCTGCTTCATAGATGCAGGCATCCTTTGCGTGAGTGATGGAGAAGGCATATCGTCCCAGCATTGCTAAGTCAGGCGAGTCCAGAAACCGAAACAAAGGCACTGCCGACAGAAAGCGCAGATTTCTGCTCCCGATCGTCCTTGCCAGAGCATTTATAGTCGACAGCAATACCATGCTGGAAATCGTGAAGCATGTCCCGCCCAAATCTCCTGCCACAACTTCACCAGCACAGCCCTGCACTAGTTCCAACTCTCCAAAGACGCACCCGGGACCAAGAAAGCTTTCTCTGCCGGAGGTATTCATGAGCTTGAAGCTTCCTTCGCGCACCACAAATATTCCAGTGCCGAATTGATCCTGCGAGGCAAAGATGGCTGCCTAGACATGTAAGCAACACAGGAATCCAGGACATGGGGTGGCGCAGGCTTTGTGAAATATGGATCACTCCTCCCTGTTAACTTCCTTCGGCAATGCTAGGCTGTTGTAAAGCTTGGCCGCTCCGGCCTTGTTGGAGGCGAGCTCACCGGGCTTGAAGCGAAGAAGCTGCGCTTGCCGTGCCTTTGGGTGAACAACTCGCCTCACATCTGACTGTATGCTACCCTTGCTTTTTCATCTCGAGTATCTAGACCCGTTCCCAGTCTGCAAGAGCAACCGCAAGCCTGCCCTTGCACCTAAACGACGACGGGGGGAGGACGACGGCGACTGCTGCGGCTGCTGCACTTCCTCGTCCTCCTCCTACCTGCTCCTACAACAGCAACTACTACTACTTAGTATTATTGTCAAAAATCCTACTACTGCGACTGCTACTGCTGCTGCTACTGCTACTCCTCCTGCTACTGC